ACCCATCTCCATCTCCATGCACTGGGCTTGAAAATCGGATGAGTTTTGGCAGCATTAAGTGGAGCTCCTCCAGGTTCTCCCAACTCCTGTTGGGTCTCTTAAATGGGGGATATGATTTAAGGTAGAGGAGGCAACTGCCCAGGAAGATGACTGATCTTAAGACCAAACGTTGTGGGGGATATTTCTCATCCTCTTCTGGGGTGGGGGGGGAGACCTCAGAACACCAGGGTTAACCAGAGTAGAGGATAAAATATCATGAGGAACGTCAAGTTGGGAATAGTGAGTGGATCTCAGATGCATCGAACTGGAAGGAAGAAGGTTCAAGAATAACAGGCTTAAGGTTTATTCCAGCTAATCCTGGGCCTAATTCAGATGTCAGAAGGAGCATTTCTCTCTGAGTTCTGGAACAACAGTGTCCAGAAGTTCTAATTTTGAAGAACCTCAAGTCAGAGAAGAAGGCTAGTCTACCCACTGCAAAAGCATTGTTTTCTTGGGGATAGGGTGCTGGGATGCTTTCAAGAATGATGGTGTTGTTTTGTAGACTACCTGGTCCTTCGCTAACCATGTTCTCTTTCTCCTCCTTCTCTCTCTCTCTCTGCCTCCCCCACCCCATCTCTTCTGTTTCTCTTCACAGCAGAAGCAGCAGTGCCAGCAGCGCCACGAGCATTAGCCTGCCCAAGCACCTTTCTCTCTCCCCACAGATCCCACCCCACCACTCCTCTGGCCCTGTGGTGCCCCTTTCCATCTCCAACCTTGCCGCTTCGCACTTCCCTCTCCGGTCGCAGTCCCAACATCAGCATCATCCGGCCATGTTCGCCACCCCTCCCACGCTGCCGCCCCCACCTCCAGCCTTGCCCACCAACAGCCTTGTGATCCCAGGACACCCCGCAGGTAAGTGCACACCTGCTCTCTGGATTCCCCACTAAGGTACGCTTGCCACCACTTTGAGAGAGGTACATGATTCAGTCCCTCAATCCAAGTATGTAACTTACTTTTGGGCGCAAAAGATCAGCCTTCCCTATGCGAAGGTCCAATTGAACTGCTTTATTGCTAAAAGGCCATGCGCAGGAATCTTCTCAACTCATGCTAGGAATTGAGAACGGGAATCTTCTCAGCTTCAGCTAGGAGTTAGATAGGGGTCAATGGAATTCCAGGAAGGTAGCTCGCTTGTGACTATGTAGGGATTCTAGGCAGATCCCCCTTTTCACTCCGCCCTCAGGTTCTGCCACTCCTCCTCCTGCAAGTAACAAGAATCAAAACCAGACAGGAAAAATGGGAGAAGAAA